CAACAAATCTGAGAAGCCAGCCTTCCCACGTGGAAAAGCACTCTGCTCAACTCTCTGAATCATACAATAAAAAGTACTTTAAGAACACTGAAGAGAACTTGCAGAACAAAGTGCCAACTGGAAGAAAAGGCAGCAGTCAGAGGGCACAGTTAAAAGAGGGAGAACTTACCAGCTGGGATTCAGTGGAGCTAAGATTGAAATATTTACCTCTGTCACACTGCTTTTTACTCAAAATAACAAGCCTTGGGAAAGCTATACAATAAATCTAAACATTCAACACTTCACTTAATGTTAGATCCTTTGGCCTAACAAGAATTTTATTGACCTGTTTCATCATTTGAAACCTTCCGAGAACCTGTCTAGAATTAGAGCATTCACTGCTACTGAAGAGTGGCAACCGGTGCCTTGTATAAATAAACGTGTATCTTTCCGCTGAAATGAGTAATCTATGTTAAACTTAGAGCTCCAACTTACAAGCCCTTGGTTTTCTTAAGAGCCCTGAGAAAATCTTGCTTTGATTTTCTGAAAGAGAACATGCTTCAATGTTGGTTTTGGAAAGTCTCACATTAAGAACAGGGTTTAATCCAATACTAAAGGAAGAGGAGGGAGAAGAGGAGGAGGAGGGGGAGGAGGGGAGGGGAAGGAGAGGGGGAAGAGGAGAATGGAGATGATCATTTTGAATCATGTGACTGTACAGGCAGATTTCATCGTTTTAAGCAGTTGTTAGGGATGCCTTATAATAAACAGATAGAAACAAACAAGGCCAAACACGGCCTAGATCCATTAATAAGATATTCAAGCCCAGTGTATTTTCCATCACCATCAGAGTGCAGCATGAGTAGGTACAGTTGATGTAAAGATTGCTCAGGACTCAGTAAGCATCTCAGAACCTGGAGTTTCCAGCTGAACCCGTGAGGACTGAGAAACCTAAGAGGTTACAATCACTATGCAAAACCCTTATGCTAATCACTCATGAGCTGCTTTGAGGCAACTAAGGACTCAAGCCAAGTGAAAGAAAAGAGACTTCAGGACTGCACACAGCAGACAAAACTAGTAGACATCAACGCTCAGAAACTAAAGGGCGGATTTCAAGTACCCAAGGAAAGGATGACAGCAATTTCTACATTACCATGAAACTTGGACTCCCACAGAGATCATATTAGTCTCGTTAAGAAGTTTCATCAGCATCATCTATGAGTCAAATTTTAGATTTAAATGGCAAAACAGGCTCATCAATAATTAGGCCTTGGAACACATCCAAATTAACAACATAAAATAAATGCTTGTAACAAAAGAACTCTACAGAGCTGGATTTATGCAGCAGAATATGCAACCAAGTCCTGCATGACAAGGCAAAGGAATGGCTGTAACATCAATGTGCAACAAAATTAAAAAAAAAAAATCTTTTTAGCCATATTGCATAGCATGAGGGATTGGGTTCCCCAATCAGGCATGGAACCCGCCCCGGTTGCAGTGGAAGCTCTGAATCTTAACCACTGGACCACCAGGGAAGTCCCAGCAAAACTATAGATGGTACAATAAAGCTGTAGGAACAGAGACAGCCCTCTGCCCCTCACGACACAGACACCCAGAGCAGAGCAAGGACAGCACAGAGCCCAGCCCACCTCACTTCACGGACGAGCCGACTGAGGCCCACGGAACTGTCCACGATGATCCCGGCTGGAGTCCAGGCCCAAAGGCTCCACTCCACACGCACCAGACCAGCTTTTTCTCAAAACACAAGGCACAGAAAGCGCCATTCTTACTGTTGGCTAACTTATCGCAGGGTCCAAATTCTTGGGAATCTTTCTTTCCTTTACTCTCCAGGACTAAAAGCTTAAACAAACTCATGTTCCAACAGATTCCCTAGAAAACCCAAAATTCCCCAAGGTGGATATGGGACTGGAACCTGTACAGAGCCCTATTATACCACCACAGAACCACACGGCAATTCACTTGCAAATTCTTTCACAGACATCACGCCCCAAGAGCCACAGCTCACGAAAGAAAGGAGGGCCAACTCCACACCAGATCAAGGGAATTGTGCCAGAATGAGAAGAGCCTAAGACATGAAGCAAAGCAAACTTTGCAATACTCGGGAGAAAAGGAAATTTCCTACAGCCTCAGGGAACCCTTCCCAGAAGGTCTCACAGTTGCTGAGAAAGGAAAGGGTTGCTGTGGTTCATCATTATAGCTTTGAATTCAATGTCATCATTCTTAAAGGTCGAGATTGTTTTTTTGCCAACAAACCAAAGGGAAAATGCCATTCAGGGATCATGAGAAAGTGCTGGGCAGAGGACATGCCCGGAAAGCAGCATCCCACAGTAAGCTATGGGGAGTGACGAGCTCTGGGAGTCTCTGCCCGTCCTCCCTGAAGCACCTCAATCTTCGGCAGTGTGACACATACCCCACCCAGCCTTCCTTCAGGTGATCATTACGGGTTTGTTGCTGAATTTAGGTTTTCCTGGCTTTTTCCTTTTATAATGAAAAGTTCTTCTGGTGCTAAGACAATCAAGAGGAAAACAAATGCCAAAGCAAAGATAAAGCACGGGAAAAGATTAAAACCAAGTTAGGCTAAAAGACTTTTTATATGGAGTAAAAAGTATGCCAAATGATTTGCTTCAATTCCTAGTGCCACAAAGTTGGATTGGTTCCCTTGGCTGATGATACAGAAACAATATATAACATTGTTTCTAAGCCACACAACTTCAGACACCTATGACACTTACTAAAACCAGGCAAACTGAAGACCTTAAACAAAACTCAGCCTACCAAATTTGTAAACACACAATCCATACATTAATGACATCACAGACCTAAGTGTTTACGCTTCAAAAGGGAAAGTAAGAAACATCAAGTTCTAGAACATACAAATTCGTTTTGTTTCACTATAACTCTTTAAAGTTTCACTCAAACAAAATGGAGATACTATAAAAGACCAATATAATCAGCATCAAAAATTAAAGTTTGTTTCTAAATAGTAATATAAATTAGTCATATTACTTTGAAGAAGCCTTGAGACTGATAATTTTAAAAGAACCCCAGGAACAGATATACAGCTTCAATGACCAAATAAACCTACAGCAATCAATCAGTCCCTGAAAAAACACATACTGACCAATTCATGTTTATCTAGAGAATATCAAAAATAACTGCCCTACCCACTGTGCACGATGGCTGAAAATAAAAATCAAAATGAGACAGTATGTGAAAGTACTTAATAAAGTCAGTAAGAGAGTTTACACAAAGACTAAACACAAGTAATGCTCTAACCTGGTATGGTAAACAAGAAGGAGACTAGGTATCACTAACCTGGAGTCTAATCCTAGTTGAACCACTGAGTGCTAGTCACCTCACTGTAACATAAATCACTAATGCCCACCGTGTTCCATTTTTTTAACTGGAAGGTTAACAGAACTGGATTAAAGGGTCTGAAGTCCCTTTTGGCTCTGCTACTATGATCATTATTATTTCACACCTAAATTACTACTAGTATAAACATTCCACATTACTAAATATTCTCATAGGTGCCACTATGTCACAAGCAGACACGCCATCTTTCCTAACTTGGCAGATATAGAAGTGATACCTTGCCAGTGATACTTCTGGAGACCTGTATGCAGACCTGCGAGGGGTTTAAAGCCCAATTACCTATTTCTGCACAGAGTTGGTCCAAGATTAAATGAGAGGAAGACACATTTTATCCCTTATTGATCAGACTAGTGAGCTGAAGCCGAGATGAAGTCGTCTACTGACAATTCGCAGAAGAGTGAAAGCTGGGAGCAGAAAGCAGGTGCAGAGCTCTTCTCCATCAGGGACAACTGAGCGTCTGAGATGGAAATGCACCAGAGCTGGTCCCCTCGTGGCCAGTCTGCTGGGGCAAAAAGGAAGGCAGTCCCTGCTTCCACCCATCTGCTAACCACCAGGCACTGGTCTTTCTGCATGCCAGGGGTGTGGAAATGAAAGCAAAGGCCCTGGCCTCATGGAGCTTACAGTGTGGTTGGGGAAGAACCACAAACGAGTAAAATGCAGGGTATATTATCATGGTAAGTGCTATGGAGAAAAATGAAGCATGTCAAGGGAACAGAGAGCATGTATTTGGTGATTCACGATTTTCTTTTAAGCCAGCTGGATGCCACTTACAGAACTACAAGAATGCATCTAAAGTAGTTTTCCTCAGCATTTACTCAAACAAGGAATTCTCTGTACACAGGGAAGATGCTAGCCGGTTGATTCCAATTTTATATTGATTGCTCAAAAGCTCTAAACTGCCAGCCATGAGCTATCTGTCCCGTGGGCAATCTAAACCCCACACTAACATCAACTCACCCCAAGCCCACCTTTGAAATCCACAAAGAGTGGAAACAGATTTTAAGAAAGAGAGCCAGGAAGAGCCAGGAGAAGTTACCAGAAATTAGTTGAAATGCTTCTGAATAGGCAGAGATGTCTCTTAATGCACAGGTTAAAAAGCAATTTGTGTGCCAAGGTCTGATAGGACAAGGCATTGAGAATACAGTACACATCATTTTGCTTTTTTCTGATGTGTCAATTCTAGTGACATTCTCTATTAGTCTATATTTAACCAGCTTACTGGGCAGTTTCTCCAGCTTTTAGCCTTTTCCCTCCCTTTTATTAAAAGAGCAACTCAGTTTGCAAGAAAGTTCCTACAACATACCAGCCCCTGCAAGATGTGATACCCTTGTATGAACACTGTCCTATCCACCTTCAAATCACCTCGTTAGTTGAGCTGACAAAACAGGCTGATCTTCGTTTTAAAATGCCTTCTCTAAATCGCTAAAATCTCATAATGGTCCTCGGGTTGTATAACAGCATCCGGAGAATTACAGTAAGTCTTTCCGAAATGTGCGACAGCTTACTGTAACGTCGGTCTATAACACACTGCCCTTCTTTTTAAACGGAGGACCCACGGGATGGCAAAGTCACTTTTGCGAAGAGCCTGGGGGGTGGGGTTGCGCGGCCCCGCCCGGTCCCCGCCTCACCTGATGTACGGGCTGGCGGCTGCCAGGATGTTCTTCTGCACCGGGATCTCCTCCCCGTCGAGGACCAGGTGCGCGTCGCAGAAGCGGGACTCCTCCCGGAACGAGCTCAGCGCGCGAAGTAGGCGCGTGGCGTGTTGAGGGTCGGACACGGCGCTGCCCTCGGCCATCGCGGCACCCGCTCCTCCGCCCTCCCGTGGGGGCTCTGGAAGCCGCCCTGCCAGACCCCGCAAGCAGCCTGCGTTCGGCGCGCGCCCAGTCCGCTTGGTCCGCGCGCGCCCCGCCCGCTCGGCCCCGCGCTCGGATAGGCAAGATCCAGCCCGAACCTCTGGAACGCGCCTGCGCCGTCCGCCCCGCGAGCGGCCGGCGCCTTTAAGGAGCCGCGGCGTTGCGTCATTTCTCCGCGACGCCCCTGCGCCCTCCTCTCTCTCTCTGTCCCGCCCCCCGTTGCTGGAGGCGGCCAATCAGAAGCCTCGTCCCCCTCCCGAACGCCCCGATCCCGGAACTGGCGCTGCGTGGGCGCGGCTCGGCGGCTGAGAGCGATCTCTGGAGCGCTGGAAGGGTGTGTTCGCGCGCTGGCGCTCCAGGGTTAAGTCCGTGGCTCTGGCGCTGTGAATCTGAATCTGAGCCTCGGCTCCTCCGCTCACTAGCAGTGTGACCATGGGTAAGGTACCCATCCGCAGTTTATCTTTCTGAAAGATGAAGATTTCTTAGGTGGTGTTGCGGGCTAATGTGAGATAACCGCACGTAAAAGAGGGCGCACTAGGTGTAGCGTTTATTATTTACGAGAGAAAAGGTGCTTCCCAGGTAAGAGCACAGAGATCCGAGAAAGCCAGCCCCGAAAACAGCGTTTGGGTTGCGGGTCCGGGAGGGAGATGCAGCAGATGAAGCTGAAAGACGTAAATGAGACCTCTTTGGCTTACAGTCGGGAGGTTGGTCTTGATCCCACAGATGTTATAGGAACCGTGATAGGATTTTTCACGAAGCCCACTCAGCTGCCTTGTGGAGAACTGGAGGGTGGGATTGGATGCCAAAGGTAGAAACGTGGTTAAATATTGCCTTACTTGAGGGAAGGGACTGGTGGCCTAGATGGAAGGGTGATAATGGAGGTGGGGAGTAGCGGATGGCTTTAAAAGAACAGGCAGAATTAGGAGGGGAAGGGAGTCCTGGATAATGTTCTGGATTGAGTAGCTGTGTGATGTTGGTACCTTTCCGAGAGAGACAGAAACACTGAAGGAGTGGAAGGTAGAGAGCCCAGACAGATGTGGGCTCTATACAGGTATGACCAGGCTCCCCACCCAGTGAGGATCAAGGTGCTGACAGGAAGCAAATGTGGGACAGCTCTGTGTGCAGAGCAAGCCCCATACTGTCCGAGATTTCTGGGAAGGCTGTTAAGGGCACATGGGAATGTGGAATGTAGCCCCCGTTTTGTCCAAATATTAGGGACTCCACAAGCGCCTAAGGAATTAGAAGTTTTATGAGGGCCAAAGGCCCAAAGAATATGGTCAGTATTCCAGATAGACCGGGATAGGGTTTTCACTGGATCAGCTTAGGTTTTTCCTTCAGCCAACTCAAAGGCCCCCATAAAGTCTGACGTCTTTACCCTGAACCAGCCAGGGGTTTGGGGTTACTGGCAGGAATCAGGGTATTTAACTTTGGTGGAGTCACTGACCGAAGAATAGATTGGGAGAAGGAAGTTACTAGAGGGCTTCCCTGGTGGCTTGGCTGGTAAAGAAACAGCCTGCAATGCAGGAGACCCCGGTTGCATTCCTGGATCAGGAAGGTCCCCTGGAGAAGGGATAGGCTGCCCACTCCAGTATTCTTGGATTTCCCAGGTGGCTCAGATGGTAAAGAATCTGCCTGCAATACAGGAGACCTGGGTTGGGAAGATCCCCCTGGAGGAGGGCATGGCAACCCACTCCAGGATTCTTGCCTGGAGAATCCGCAAGGACAGAGGAGCCTGGTGGGCTGCGAGTCCATGGGGTCGCAGAGTCGGGCACGACTGAGTGACTAAGCACAGTGGGAAATCCAGACATTCCTAGATCAGTATTGTGGATAAAATGATTAAAACATCTAGGATTGGCTACAAAACAATATGAAGGGAAGTAGGTGGGGGTATAAATGAATCAAAAGTGGCTACGAGTTACTCCTTTTAAAGCTGGGTCATAGATATGTGGAGATTCGTTGCGCTAGTCTCCGTATTTCTTTGTATGTGGTAAAATGTCATAATACAAAGTCAACAAGATAAGCGGTTAGAGCTTATATCCTCCATGATACCTGCCCAGTATCCCTGGGAGCAGTCGAAACACTTCTTCCTTGAAGTTGTTGCTGTACTTTGAACATTGCTCTGGCAGGAAAATTACTGTAAGGGGTTTACTTGTTCATCTCGTCTGCTAGCTTGTAAATTTAGTGCATCTCCGTTTCCAGGTGCCAAGTCCACTGCCTCGCCCTGTTGGTGCTCAGTGGATGTTAGATGGATGGAGGGATTTTATAAATTGTGAATACCGGGCATTTAATAAATGTTTTCTGAATTGCAATCTGTTTTCAGTTTATTTGTGTTTGTCTTCTTTCTCAACTGGGTTGTTGCTGGAGTCAAAAATGATACATATGACAGAAAGCCTTCATATCAAATATGTAGGTACTTGATAAACACTTACTTGGAATGCTGATCTAGTCTTCAAATGTCAGCGGTTCCAAAACAAAGAGCTCAAATAACAGAATGACCCTCAGGTAACCAGTTTCCCCAGAATGGGGGTGTTGCCTTAGCTGAAGTAACTGGAGGTGAATGGGCATTAGTCAGGCAGGTTCTTCCTGGCAGAGGTGAGACTTCTCTGATGTTTTGGCAGAAGGAAGGTATAGGAGGGCCTGGGCAGAGGGTTGTAGACAGACCACCATCAGTCAGGGCAGCCTCCCGCCTGACACCTGACAGGGGAAAGGCAGTTGCTGGCTTGAGAGGTTCCTCTGTGCAGCAGGCAGCGGATGGGCAGGGGACCACATAAATGTTCTGCATTCCATCCCCACCGACCACCTGCCTGAATCACTCATCTTCATCCTTCGGAATCCAGCTCAGTGACCTTCAGAGGACCTCCAGCCAGCTTCTCAGGGCAGAGTCCCTGTGCATCGCTGTGTTCATGCCTTGTGTTCTGCACTTGGCTGGCAGCACCGTAATTCACCGGTTTACACGCTGGTTTGCGAGCTCCTGCAGGGTAGGGGCTGTGTTATGTTTACCTGTTTCAAGGGACTTGCCCAGTGCCTGGTGCTTAGTGGGTGCCCCCTGAATGCCTCACATAATCAGAGGTGGCAAGTTGGATGAAGGAGCATGGGGGGCAGGCTGTAACACAGTAGGGGCAGGTGGTCCCACAGGGAGCTGAAGAGCACACCCTCGGGTCAGGTGGAAGGCCGTCCTTCACTGCCAGCTCCAGGAGATGAGGAGCCAGTGGTGCCAAATCCAGTAATTTTTCAAAAGATCTGAAAATTCAGATCCACATGTGCAGTGTCCCAGTTTTTCAACATTAGCCACACATTCCATTTGAGAAAAAAAAAAAGATGCCGCACGTGTCTGCAAACAAGATCTGGCTTCCATTCATTTCCAGAGGCAATCAGAAGACCATCTTGGTTTACTGAGAAGGGAGTTAACAATCCAAAGGGTGCTAGATCCTCAATAAAATTGTTGAGTTGAACTCGGGTGCCCCCACTAAGCCTCATCCTAATGCTGTAGGGAAGGAAGAGGCCCCACATGTGGGAGGATCTGTGGGGCAGCTGCTGCTGGAGCCACTCCTGGTTAGACCATGAACTGTCTTGCAGTCTATTGATACTGCTCAAACTGAGCCACCCTTGATATTGTTTATGGCCATCAGAGTGGTGTATTCAGTGTTATTGTTTCCCTACATTCCATGTATATCAGACATCGAGCTGTTGTGAAACATGTAATCTAAGAGATTTAATAAACGTCCCAGCAGTTTCAGTCTCTGGTGACTATCTGTGACCCCTCTTTAGAGGCTAAAGAGCCCCAGAGGAAGGATTCTCTTCTGGGCGTGAAGACTGAAAAGGATATTTTCACAAGGTACTAACAGTAGTCATTCACTCAACAAATATTTATTGAGCACCTGCTATATGTTACATGTTGCAGAGGTGCTGATGGTGAAAGCAAGCAGTTTCCTCCCATGCCATCATCCAAGAGACTTTTTATTCTCTTCTGCTTTTCTGATCATGTGTCATTTTACAATCAGGAAAAAACAATTTTCATTTGCAAAAAGAAAACACTTTGTTTCCAAAAATGAACCCTCCAAGAAAAGAATCACTTTGGGGTTTTATTTTAAAATAAATGTTAGAAAGAGGAATAAGAGTCCAGTAAAAGAGATAATGCAAAGCAGAAGAATTAATAGTTTGGAAGCTCTTTCGAAAACACTGATTTGAGTGGATTCATTTTATTGAAGTGAAAACTGAAGCTCGAGGAGTAAAGGACTCGGTCAAGGTCATACATGTGACCTAGTTGGGGCAGAACAGACCGGCCCCGAACTTCTGCCTTCCAGCCCTGTAAGCTTTTCCATTACACCAAGTTGACTCTTTGTGAACATTAATTTGGCTGAGACAGTCTCTTCTGATTCATTTTAAGGCAGTCTTCAGATACTTTATTAGGTAAATCTGTCTTTGGTCCAAATCTATATATGGCTCCTTTCCGAAAATCTGAGCTCTTCCAAATTGCTGAGTCAGAGAACATCTCAGTATTTATAACTTTTTTTTTTTCAGTATTTATAACTCTTGAGAGTTGATTCTACGTATTTACACAACATTCAGAGGAGTATCTCAGAACCAGTGAACTAATTAAGCTGTGATGAAGATAGTGACTTTCTGTCCAAATCCATGCTGCGTTGCTAACACCTGGTGCAGTGCCTGAGACACAGTAGGGACTCAGTAAATATTGGCTGAGTGAATAAATGTTAATAAGTGGGGAGACCTGGGATCTTTCTATCCACAAGGGGTTACTTCAGTTGTTTACCACAGTCCCGCACTGAACTCCAACTAGTCTATGCAACAGCAGGCTAACATCTCCGGTTGAAAATAAGCTTCTGATTTTACTCTTTAATCTTTAAACACAATCATTCCCAGACTTCCATGGTGGTCCAGTGGCTGAGACTGTGCTCCCAAAGCAGGTTTTGATCCCTGGTTGGGGAACAGGATCCCACATGATGCAATTCAAAAAGATCCTGCAAGCCAAAACTTAAGATCTGGTACAGTCAAATAAATATGTAGATAAAAAAAAAATTTTTTTTTAAATCCTAATCCTTCCCCAAATAAAGTGGCAGCATTATTCACTTAACCATAGACAGAGATTTCTGGACATTCTTGACCTTGTTTCTCATGCCCTTCATCCAGTTCACCAGCAAAACCCTGCAGACTCTGTCCTGAGTCCAGCCTCATCTGACCCCCGTCGGTACCACCCTGTCCAGCCACTAATCAGTGCCCCCTGGACTCCTGCACCAGCCTCTTAGCTGTGCTGCCTGCTTTTCCTCTTGCCCTCTTCTGAGTTCTTTCTCTTTATAAGTTAACCAGATCCAGTTGCTTCCCAAAACAAGACCCTCCAAAGGTTTCCCATCAAACTTAAGGGAAAAAAATCCACAGCAGAAAGCCCTGTGTGGTCAACCCTGTACTTCCTCTTCAATCTCATTTCCCACCACTTTCCTCTCGCCTGATGTTCACTAACCAAACCAGTCCTTTTGCTGTTCCCTGAACAGGCCTCACATATGCCCACCCCAGGGCCTTTGCACTGGCTCATCTCGGCCTGGAAGTGTCCTTCCTCATATTCTCAGACCTTGTTCTTTCCTTCTACATAGATCAGAGCGCAAATGCCAACTCCTCAGAGAGGACTTCACTTATCTTCCTGTATAATGAATGCCTCACTCAACTACTTCATTTTTTCTCACTGCATTCAGTCACTACCTAACATATGTTTATTTGTATATTATGTGTCTCCTCTGACTTTAAGCTTCCTGAGGCCTGGCAGGAACTTCCCATTTTATTTATCACTGTTATCCCCTAGCCTCTAAAACAATGCATAGGAAATAACAGATATACAATAAATATAGACTTACTGAAAGAAACAGGCAGAGGGAAGAGAGGAAGAGAGAAAATACTCCTGGATCTTTTTATCCCTCGCCACCTAACCTGTCCTTACCAACGCGGAGGAAGATGAATGGCCAAGGAAGTTAGAGATTCAAAGGACATGAAACTTTTTTTTTTTTTGACATGAAATTTTCAAACCTCAGAAGGTTTGGAAACAATATAACAGCTCTGGACAGATGTTGCTTCAATTACTTCTTTCAAACCAAGTCCTGTGTGAGGACCTTCACATCCTCCTTCAAGCCACACCATTTTCCACTTTGTACTCTTTAAATTTAGTTTGAGTATTATATACTGTTAGCATACCCAACAGCATGTAAAAGATACTCAATTTCTGTCCTCCCTATAGAATACAGCCAATACAAGGCAAGGTGTATGAGCTGATTCATTCTGCAACATTTTTATCATGTAATTAATTTGCCTGCTCCTTAGACTTATTTAAGTGTAAAGTCACCTGAATTCCTTTAAGTCACTGGACACTCTGTATACCTCCCTGCGGGTTTCTTCCTCCTATTCTGGGAGGCTCCAGGGCTCAACACTCCACTACTTCGGTTTCTTTGGCGTAACCTTAGTAACTTCCCAGAGCAGTTGAGAAGCTCTGATGCAAGGGTCCGGCACATAGTGGGAGCTCAACAAACGCTAAGTGTTATGTTTCCTATTGCGATCATCACCACAGTCATCATCCTGGTTTATAATGGCATCTTTCCCAGCTCAGGAATTACTATCTTCTAGTTGACTTTCAAGTCAAAAGTCTAGCATCACCTCTACAATCAGGGCCCCACCAGCTTCAACCTCTTGGGTCCGGGTTGACAGCTTCATCTCTTGTTTCTCTCTGATGTTAACGCTGGACTATAGTGAACTTAATTATTTTCTGACTCCATCTGCCATTTTCCCTTCTTCCTCTTTAAGCATTCCATTCTACTCCTTTGTATTTCATGCTCTATGCCTTTAATTTTATTTTTTTTTACCTTTAGATTCATTCTTATATTTTCTGAACTATGTTAGATCTCTTTAAAAAACAATGTTTGAACTAGTTAACACTTTAGTATATTTATTATCTTTGGAACACATCTTGATTGAGGTATAACATAAAGTGTATGGACTGATTAATTGTTTCATATGGATACCTCTGTGAACTCACCAGATGGATAAAGATAAAGAACATTTTCAGTAACCCAGAAGTTTCCTTCAGACCTGCTTCCGATCAGAACTTCCCAGCGGAAACCACTGTTCTGACTCCTATCACCATTGATTAGTTTTTCCTGTTCTCAAACCTTTGCATTTGACTTACTCGGCTCGGGACAATGTCTCTGAAACTCTCCCATTTGTTGCGTGCGGCAGTAGTTAACCAGCCATGCCGCTGTGTGCGTGTGCCACCACCTATGTATCTGTTCCCTGCTGCTGGACACTTCA